TGACAGAAAGATAGTCCATGTATATCTGGAATAGTCATCAACCATGACTAGGGTGTATTTCTTGCCACCAACGCTTGGAGTTTCAACAGGTCCAAATAAATCCATGTGGATCAGGTTTAAAGGACTTGTAGAAAGATCTCCAGCAATGGGTTTGAAAGAGTTCTTCTGTTGCTTTCCCTTCTGGCATGCACTGCAGAGGGTCTCTTTCTTGTAGACTATGTCTGGCAGTCCATCAACTATGTGTTCTCTTGCCAGTTTGTTGATTGTTTTGAAGTTAAAATGGCTAAGCTTCTTGTGCCAGTCCCAACTTAGTTTTGAATCTCCCTTGGCTATCAGGCAAACTCCGTCCTTTGTTGTGTTCCAATCAACCACATAGATGTTCTTCTTCCTTGATGCTGTGAGAACCACTTCTTTTGTTATCTCATGCTTCACATAGCAGAAGTCCTTTGTGAATTCAACAGTGTAGCCTTTGTCACAGAATTGGCTAGCACTCAGCAAGTTGAACTTCAGTCCTTTAACGTATGAGACATCATCAATGACTATCTGGTTCTTGATCAGCTTTCCTCTTCCTTTTGTTTGACCTTCTTTGTCATTACCTCCAAAGGTAACTCTAGGTCCTTTGCATTTCTGGAACTCAGTTAGGCAACTTCTGTCACCTATCATGTGCCTGGAGCATCCACTATCAATAAACCATTCTTGCTCTGAGATAGCTCCAGCACACAGTTCCTGCAAGATCAAAACAAAGATTTAGGTACCCAAGCAATGCTGGGTCCTGGGGGGTCATGGAGTCTAGGTAGTTGGTACCATTTTGGTCTCATCAAGTGAAACCTTGGTGGGTGGTACCCATTGTCCACCTGGTAGTTATACTAAACTGAAGTGTGATTCACTTTGGGAAGATGCTTGTGAGGGTCATGCTTCCTGTTTACATATTTTTGCATAGCTTTCTTTGTTGGAAAGAAGTCCCATATACTATCAAGAGCAGAGGGACGGTTAGCTTTGGGCTTCTGAAGTTGACCAGCCAACCTCTTCTGCCTAAAGTTAACTCTCTCTTGATATTTGGCCTTCTGGTGGTCATTTCTGGCACGATTGTCATGAGGTTGTCTGTCAATGAATTGTCTTTTATTTTTGTTATTCTGAAAACCTTTTCTATTGTTAGGTTTTCTGCCAGGTTCATTATCTTTCCCTTTTCTGGTCTAACTTCCTCATGAACAACCTTGGTGCCAGATACCCCAGCTTGACAAATGGGGCTAGAAATCAGTGGCACTATGACCTTATCTGCCTTAGCAACACTGGTGTTAGGCATTACAGAAGGCTCACCTGATTCTGTTGAGCCATAACCAAGACCAAAGCCAGTGCCAATCTGTTGATCAAGTACAATCTTTTCCATGGAAGACTGGGCCTTCTGGTAAGCTTTGTAGTTAATCTCGAGAGGCTCCATTTCTCTTATTCTCTTGAGAAGAGAAACATTTTCAGTCTCCAGCTGATCTCTTTCCTTAATTAGAAGATTGATTTTGATCTTAACCTCCTTTTTCAAGTCAAGAATTTCATCTTTCAACTTACTATTTTCTTCTGTTACAGAGGAATAAGTGGCTTGGATGGCCTTAAACTCTTCCCAAAATTCTGACATTGAATCAGAATCATAAGCTAAGCCTACCGAAGAAAAACTAGATGTAGAAGTAGAGGTTACCTCATCATCAGAATGAGCCATGAGGCATAGGTCTTCTGTCTCAGTATCAAGGCAACAGAAGGCCTCATCAGAATCTGAGTCAGAACTGGATTCTGTCTCTGACAGAGGGTCTTTCTCGAGCTGTTCTGTCACAAGTGCTTTTCTCCTTCTGGAGTTGTCTTCATACTTCTTCTTTTCTCCATCATGCCCTTGTTTCTTGGACACTCTTGGATGTGGACATTCTGTTTTGAAATGTCCCGGTTGTCTACAGTTGTAACAGAGCAGCTCACCACTGCTTTCTGTTGTTTTGACCTTCTGGAATGGCTTTCTGCTGAATGATGGACTTCTTCCATCTTTGGGATTCTTCATGAACTTCTTGAATCTCCTAGCAAAAGCAGCCATATATTCGTCAGATAAAAGTACTGAAGGGTCAAAATCATTTACCTTTGATGTGCTGGCAGTGAGGGCTGTCGTGGTCCTCTCTTCTGGTACATCTTCTTTTTCTTCAATCATCTCAAACTCATGAGCTTTGAGATCTGAAATGAGCTTATCAGTGGGATAAGTCTTCACATCGTTGCTGGCTTGGACAGCAACCACCTTCATCTTCCATGCTGAGGGCAGTCCCGTCAACACCTTAAGGTTGATCTCCTTGGTGATGAGTTCCTTGCCAAGCTCAGAGATCTCTCCAGTGAGAGTGAGGAGCCTGTCATACATCTTGGAGATGCTTTCACCAGGAAGAAGCTTGAAGTCATCAAACTTCTTGTTGGCTATTGTCAGCTTGTTGTCCTTCTCTTGCTCATCACCAGCTCCAATGAGCTCAAGAGTATCCCAGATTTCCTTTGCAGTCTTGCACTTCTTTATTCTGTTGAAGTACCTATCATCGATGGACTTGTAAAGAATATCCTTAGCAATGTTGTCCAGATTGTACTTCCTTCTTTCTTCAGTAGTCCACTCAGATTTAGCCTTATTGATCATCTGAGGTCTAGTGTTGTCAATAGCATGTTCAGGGTTGACCTTCTCGAAGCTTGTGAAGGGTCCTATGTCAAGTACTTCCCACATCTCATCATGAAGAGCGCAGAGATGTGCCTTCATCCAGATCCCCCAGTCATCAAACTTAAGATCTGAAAACATAAGATTCTTGGACAAGGAGTGATCCATTATATCAGATAAAAATGAGATAAAACAGAAAAACAAGTGGATCTTTGTTCAGTAAATAACCTAAGAGATTATTAGAACAAGGAGGCTCTGATACCACTTGTTGGTCCCGGTTGTACTGGATACAGTCTAGAGGGGGTGGTGAATAGACTGTATTGGTTTTTAACTTTTTCAAGCTAAGTACCAGATTTAATAGAATAGCCTGTTCTGTTGACAGAACAGACTGGCAGCGGATGGGGTTCTGGTAGGGAGTTCTGTTAGTAGCCTCAGAGAAGCAAAGGCAGTAGGCCTTCTGTTAACTCACAAGACCAGTTCTGCTGAACACAGATACCAAGTCTTTGGAGTTAAACAGTTCAAATAAAAACTATGAATGTAAAGCAGTAAGTAAATGACACAAGGGCTTTTTATAGTGGTTCAAGGAACAACTTGTTCCTCTAGTCCACTGTTCCACTAAGCTCGTAAAAACTTCTGTTTACAGTGCCTTAGCCCTATCACTTAAGAAGCTCTCCACGTCTTCTTCAAGTGTAGATGTCTTCTTGGATGCACTTCCGGCTTCCCTAAGACTGGTCCTTTCACTGAGCTTTCCAGAAGTATCACCACTTCACAGCTCCAGGTACTTGGACGTCCTTCTTGTGAAAGAAGAGGTTCTATTTAGAACAGAGCTTCCTCCAACTTGCTTCGTTACAAAGAGTTTGTATGTGATGAGCTTGAAGAGTTGAAGAACACTTGGAACTTTGCTTGAGTTGGAAATAAGGATTTTTCCAGCTTCTGCCTTCTCTTGTAGAGGATGATGAAGTTTTAATCTCAAGGAGGCTTTATGCGTTTTTAGTGTTTGAATATCTTGTATGCAGAGTTGTAATCTCAGGTAAAGTTGGCGGGTTGCTATTTTGGGATAAAGTAATCCTGACATTGCGGCCAATCATCTGCAATTACTCTACGGAGTATGGGGAGCATTAAATGTGCATTTAATGCGTGTACTGTAGCTTTTCCGTTCAAGACTCCTAGCCGTTGAAGGAATCTTTCAGTTGGTTTCCCGGCTTGGTGGAATTCTTCTAAGTGTCAGGCCTTCTGGTGTCTTTAGCAGAGAGTTGATCAGAGAAGGTCTTGAGCACTTCTGTTGAGAAGATATCCAACAGAGAACCAGGACGGTTTCTGTCAGGGTAAAGGCTAACAGAGACCCTGAGGTCTTCTGTTCTTAAGCAGAGAACCAAAGGTCCTCTGTTCGACCAATGCCTTAACAAGGATCTTCTGCTCTGGAGGCCTTCTGCTTTGTAGGTCTTCTGCTCTGGAGGCCTTCTGCTAAGTCGATTATACTAAGGGATTTTACAAAGGAAAATTCTAATACATTAAGTCTAAGGAGGGGTACTCTAAAGTCCTAATTAATTTAGCATCATCAAAATCTAATTACAAATATTCCTTACACTATGTTTACTAATTTTTTATAGAAAGATGAAATCATTGGAAATGTATATCTCAGCCATTTTACAAGTATCAAAACATCAAATTCAATACATGACAAATAATCTAAAATTTACTAAACTTGTAGAGTAGAATAATGTTAGAAAAATCTAATCTCACAAGAACTATTATGAAAAAATCACACATATCAAATACACAATTGCAACAATGAATAAAATATTCCATCAAATAAATTTACATTTACTTTGAAATTTTCCGAATAGTTGATGTGCATTCATATTATGAGTCAATTTAGGAAATTAAAGTTTCTTTAGTGAGAGTTGGAGATAGATGTTCTAAACCAAATTTTATCTCATTTAATAATTTTGGAATTAACAAGATTCAATTTTAGATGCTCCATAAATTAATAATTGTAAATAAAAAAGAAAAAAGAAATAAAGAAGAAGAAGGAGAGTTTGGTGGAAGATGCAGGATATGATCGATTAGTTAATAAGAAGGAGCTTACTGGGTTAGCAAAGCATTAATATACGCACCCCAGCATCAATATAGCAAAGATTAGTTAAACAGGCTGAAAGTTAAAGGGAGCTACAATATTACCTGATTGCATGATGTTCACCGTACATCGGTTATATAATATACGCACCCCAAAAACAAGGGTCGCCAAACGAGCTCAAAATATAGTAAAAGTGTCAGATCCATAATAAATGGAAATATAATTCATCAATTAAGATCTTGAATGTGTGACTTTTTGTTAATGCAGGCCGAAGTAATGTTTTTGGGAAAATTTTCTCACCCAAATCTGGTCAAGCTATTAGGCTATTGTTGGGAGAACAAGCAATTTCTCCTTGTTTATGAATACATGCAGAAGGGAAGCCTAGAAAGTCATCTTTTCCGAAGTAATAAGTTCTTCATCAAATTAAATATCATCTCTTTCTCTATACTTTGTTCACTCTGATTCATTAACTAAATCATTCTAAAACAGAGAAGGGAGGTGAGCCACTTTTTTTTTTGGATGAAATGTAAATATATATTAACACCCAAAGAAAATAACAAGTCAATGTGTACAACCAAAAGTGCATATCCCGGTAAATGGAATACCACAAATCTTAAGCAAATGCTCAAAACAATATCAGAATTTGAACCTAACCATTAGTTAAGAACAAAACAGGTCAAACCACCTCCACAAAATTAGGTATCCCTAATCTAAACTCCAAAGAACTTGCGGAAAGGGGTGGTAAACTTTGGGTCAAAGCAAACCTCGCCTTTCTTTTTAGTCACTCCCGGCAAATCCTCAAAACATTTAGCGGTAAAAGTAAGGCCTTTGTTATCCAGATCATCCGTAAGCCGGAGCGAAGTATCAACTCTTATCACACTCGTTTGCACGAACCTAAAAGGTTTAACAATCAACTTGAGCTTATCCTTCATTACCTCACATTTAATGACAACGTCATACTGATGTAGGTCTTTCTCCTCCGTCACTATTCTCTCAATATCTTCCACAATCCCCTCGGCGTCCTCTTCTGTGGTCCCAGCATTCTTTTGGATTTCTTTCGGGTCTGAAATGGGCTTCCGGACATTGCTGGCAGTTTGCGTAGCAACATTAGAAACCTGGGCTGCGATCTGTCCCAGGGACCCGATCGGGTTAGAGGTAGGCCCGGTCGGATTTGCCCCCTGGGCAGTAGCTTCAGGCTGCGCTTTGTCCACAACCTTCCCCTTCGGTTTGGCTTTGTGGTGCACCATCTCAAGGGAAGCAGCCTCAATGTTTTCCTCACTCTTTTTCCCACCATCCTTCATCACCTCTTTTTCAATCTTTTTCCATCCCAATTGCTTGCAAATAAAGGGGTGGTGGCCATATGATTTGCAATGAAAACAGAAATTAGGAAAAGTCTCATACACCACCAATTGTTTAAAGATTTTCCCCGAAGGCAAACGAATCGGAAAGGAGAGGCAAGGCGCCTTGGTAATGTCCACCTCAATGAGAACCCTTGCAAAGTGGTAGTTTGTCAATTCTTGTGTGACCTTGTCCGTGGTGATAGGAACACCCACCTTCGATGCAATCTTGCTCATTGCCTCTTCATTCCACAAATTCAGTGGTAGATTGGGAAACTTAACCCAAATAGGCACCTTTAGGAATGCCTCATCGTCAAAAGTGAAATCATCGGAAAGCATCTTCAAAATAAGAAGTCTTCCATAGAGATTATAGGGACCCTCGGTGAAAACCTTAGTACGGTCTTGCTCGTTTTGAAATTTAAAAACCACCCACCCTTTGTCATGGGGTTTCACCGTACAATGTACACCCCAACGTTTCACTAACCCATATATCGCTTTTAGCCCGGGAAACCTTCCTGTAAAGCATCCAACAAGGCAATACCCCCACAAAGAGACCATCGATGGTAATACACAATTTGAAAGATCAACACACTCATCAACGGAAGGTACGTATTTTAATTTTATACCTTTGGAGGGAGCACGGTTATCACGAAGCAATTATGTCCATTTTTTGTTGCTCTGTCCAACAGGAGGGATAATCTCACCATTTAGAGCTGTCTGGATTGCTGCAGAGCTCAAAATAGCATTCTGTCCTAGGGGCCCGGTCGGGTGCAAGTCACCCCCGGTCGGGTCAGCACCAGCAGTCTGAGCAGACGCAGGTTTTTGGGACGTTCCAGCCTTGAGGGCAGGGAACTCCTCATCCCTTCCTTCCAGGATACCAAACATTGCAGACCTGATATTCCTAGCAATAGAGCCTTCAATACCCCCCTGTTTCTTCCTCACCATTTGAAACCTGGGTAGCGGCCACAAAACAGATTCAGAAATCGATTTACGCGTCTGAACAAAAGCGTATGAACAGGTGCCGCAAAACCTTCGTTAACCGTATTTTTCTGTCCAGGCTTGAATCCGAGGTCGGAATAAGCAGAACCAGTTCAGAATAATCATCAACGAAGAAGAACAGCCTCGAATCGAGCCAATACCAGGTGCATGAACAGTAAAACGACGAACTTGTAAACCTCAAAACTTGAGTTTTCCGGCCATCAATCGACTTGCAAAACCAAATTCAACGAAGAAATTGGGTTAGAAGAGACATCCGACCAAGAAACACAAGATTAACATACATCAAAATCCGAAAATAAATCCCAGCGCAGAGTTCTCAACGGAAAAGAGCTGGGCGAAAAACCCCAGGAGAGAAGCTCTCAACTTTTCCTTTGAGGTGAGCCACTTTCTTGGGACACAAGGATCAAAGTTTCATTAGGAGCAGCTAAAGGACTTGCCTTCTTGCATAACACTGAGAAAAGTGTCATTTATAGGGATTTCAAAGCAGCCAATGTTTTACTTGATGGGGTGAATCTGTCTTTCTACTAATTGATTCATAAATAAGTGGTCTTTAGAAATACTATTTGTGGAAACAACTCCCATTCTATTAATCTATAAAGTATCTTTCCTTGTATTTGGCTTTTCTCCGTAATATTCTATCATTCTATAAACCTACAGAGTATATTTATCTTGTTGGATTGTAATTACAATGATTACCTAGCTTATTTTTCTCTAGGACTTTAATGCAAAACTTTCTGACTTTGGACTTGCCAAGCTTGGTCCGGTTGATGGCAATTCGCACGTTACAACCGACATCGTAGGCACGTACGGTTATGCAGCTCCTGAATACGTGGCCACAGGTAGTTACTTATGGAGTACATAACTATTGTGTATAGTATATACATAAATGTATACTGAAAATTTTAGGCAGATTCTATTTATTTATGGTTGTTACATAATTCTGCTTTTGGATCACTAATTTTATTTTTATGCAATGCAATTAATTTTTTTGAATAGTGCAATTAATTATTGTAGTTATGGATCAATAAATGAATAGATAGAATTAGTATATATAGGTTGCATATAAATTTACAAAATACTACATACACAAAAGTATAGATCATGAGTGTTAACAAATAGAAATGACTTGAGGGTTTTGGGACCAAAAATGTCTTTATATCTTATTCAAATAAGCAGTTTTACTATCAACTAGTCATAATTATTGTCCTTTTTTCAAATCTGTTTAACTTTTAAGGGTGACCTAAATTTAGTGAAAAACATTAGCCTTGCCAGGGAACATTATAAATGGAAACTTTAGGGGGCATTTTCCCACTTAATTAAAAATACCACAAGGGTCAGTGTGCACCCACTAAAAGCATATCATTAAGCAAACATTTTCAACATTTTCATTTCACAAAATAAGAGATGGAATGTATATATTGCATGCAATGATGAAAACCCCTGATATAAAACATCACTACTGAATGAAAATATGGAGATTTACTTTAATCTAATATTGATACTTAATTAGCTTTAGACACATCGAAATAGTATAATCTTGATGGAAGTTTTGATGATATTGCAGGCCATTTATATGTGAAGAGTGATGTGTATGGGTTTGGAGTAGTACTACTTGAAATAATAATCGGCATGAGGGTTCTTGATCCAAGCCGGCCATCCCATCAATGCGATCTAGTCAACTGGGCAAAACCCTTACTTCCTGACAAAAACAAGCTGAGGAACTTAATGGATCCTCGTCTGGAGCATGGTTACCCCTTCCAAGCTGCTTCTCAAGTGGCTGAGCTCATCATAAGGTGTCTCGACCCTCAGTGTAAACTCCGACCTGACATGGAACAAGTGTTAGGGAAACTAAAGGAGATCAGTAAGCTGGAGATGACACCAAAGGATTTGAAAGCTCAAACCAAATATCTAAAGGATGCGCAACGCCGACGCCGGCTGCAGTAGCCATCCACTTTCCCAACCTACTTTGGAGGTATTGGTCATATCATTGGTGGGCATTCTCAGCATGATTATCCCAAATATCAAAGCTTTTAATCCATGAAATAGCATCCATGAAGAAGTATTATTCCATCGCTAGATAAGAACTCTGTATACGAAGTATGTAGTATTACCTTTGTCCCCCTATGTTTGGGACAAAGAGATGTGGTGTTATTTTTAAGAAAAATTAGAAATGTGTGATTGCTATTAAATTGATAAAGTGTAAATAAAGTATGAATAAATTGTAGTCATTCAAATATTACCAAATATGGTATGAGACAAACGAAAAAGGTAAAACGGGACAAAGTTAGGAGGATGGGGGAGTATTTTTTGTTGTTAAGAGAATTGAAATTCCATTAAATAATCATATCGTTAGCCACCTAGATTACAACAAAAACTGGAATAGACAATAAACATTCATGGTTTTAAATTGTGGTATCGGTTGCAATCATTGCAGTTGCGACTAATGTGGCCGCTTTGATGCGTATTGCGGCTGTTGCGACATGAAATATATATTTTCAAATTCGCACATGTTAAGAATAGAATGATTTTTTTGCATATTTTAACAAATCTTCTAGTAATTATACTATGTATTTAACATAAATTTATTTATTTGAATTGATGGTTGATAAAATTGATAGAAGTATTATTTAAGCACTTATATGTAAACAATGAACTAACCAATAAGAATATGACGATTAAAAGTGAATAAAGATTAAAAAGATTATTAAACTAAATAATTACTACAAACATAATTGAAAAATAGCATACCATAGCAATGCCAGACATATACACACACTAGAGGGTGCGGTGCACCTAGGAGACCATGTAATCAGTCACATCTTGATTACAAACAACTGAATTTTATTTTATGCTATTAAATCTGTTATTGCGACCCACAAATTGTTAGATTGTTCACAAAAATTAACCTTGGGAGTCCCAACTTTCAAATCAAATTTCAATAGGATCTGTTTTTAAAAACTCAGAAGGCAAATCACTAAAATCAGTGAAGTAAATGCGAGTGAACATTTATCAAGCCAGATTTTATTTATAAAAATCAAGGAATACAAATGAAGCAGGGGACTAGGCCAAAACCACTTCAGAGAGGGCATACCTTCTCAAAAATACAATAAATAACAACTATTAAAAGCAAGCGACCAGAAAAAACCAAACAAAGGGTGGGCTATGCCCGACCCAATTAAAAGAGCAAAGAGAAGAGACAACAATGTGCTATTTGATAGGCAATAGTTGTTAGTGCCTAATAAGTATACATTTTTATAATTGTTTGTAATGTTTATTTACTACTATTATGCAAGTTTGTAGTTGTTAGCTTGCGTTTGATTGTAATCGTATTTTTAGCATTTTATTGTTTGTTGTAAGTTGTAGTTAGTTGGGCTATAAGTTTAGGATAGGTTTGGAAGAAAGAAGGGTGAAGAAACCTGAGTTTTATGCAAAACCCGGTCGGGTATGGCCTTTACCCGATCGAGTATGAACTGACAGAGGAAGTTGCTGTGAAATTAGCAAATACCCGGTCAGATATTCCCTATACCCGTTCGGGTATGAAGTGATTTCGGGCAAACGAACGTGCAGAAGAACACAAGAACATGGGAAAAAGATTTGATTTGACAAATACCCGGTCGGGTATGGCAAATACCCGGCCGGGTATCCGGCTATAGGTCTTGAAAACACCTATACATAACCCCATTTTCCTTCACTTTTAGACATCCCTTCTTCAATATACTTAAGCTCAACTTAGAATAGTATTCTCCTTATATTTTTGTAGTATGTTTAGTCTCCAAATGAGGAGCTAAATTTCCATTTCTTGGTTTTGCTTTTAAAGCTTGTTGATTATTAAAGTTGTGAGTTATTTTCTTAGCTTCTCTTGTTGAATATTAATTCTTCCCTTAATCTCCTTCTATATTAATGTTGAGGTGTTGCTAAGTGACGATTAGTTAACACTTTGACATTAATTATTACTAGAAACGATCAACGAACCGATGATTAATCGTTGATGGTTTCACAAGTAAGTAACTTCGGTTTATTAATGCACGGTTGTGGTTAATAGACTTCAGAGGGATTAATTTTGTTGGTTAAACCGAAACCGTTGTGTTGAGATTATCAATCTCAATTGATTTCATCAAGGAGTTAAAAATATTAAATGCTACTATTAAATCGGTATACGCCGTTGTTTTATATTTGATTAATAGTAAGGGTTGTTAATGAACGGTCGTTGTTAATAACTACCCTCGATGAATTGGATATACTCTTCAATTGAGTATTCGAGATGGGATTAGTTATAGATATAACAAGGATCAATAACGTCCCTTTATCTTTGAATTAAAACACATATAAGTTGTTCATCTTAGCTTCTTATTAAATTAAATCATTCAACCCCAAAACCCCCCTTTAATTACTAGTTCATAAAAAGAGAATTATTCCTTTCCCTGTGGATACGAACTCTACTACGCTATACTACGTATAAGTGTCAAGTATTGAATTTATTTTGACGCACTACGACAAAGTGCTCGTCAAATTTGACGCCGTTGCTGGGGAAAGGCGATTATTTTTCTTTTTATTTCTTTTAAGAAAAATAAAAAATAAATAAATAAACAAAATATAAAGAGATCTTACTTCTTCTATTTCTGAGCTTTGTGAAGTATATGTTTAAACACTGTTCAATAAACGAAATCACCTATCAAACAAACCCGGAAATAGAGCAAACTTTCGAGCGGTTGAAAAGTAAATTTTCAAATACCGACTCGGAGGAATCATCTACCGGAGATTCATCCAGTGCTAGTTCTCATTCTAGCGAGTTCGAAGAGCCAATAACTATGAGATCAGTAAGCTGGAGATGACACCAAAGGATTTGAAAGCTCAAACCAAATATCTAAAGGATGCGCAACGCCGACGCCGGCTGCAGTAGCCATCCACTTTCCCAACCTACTATGGAGGTATTGGTCATATCATTGGTGGGCATTCTCAGCATGATTATCCCAAATATCAAAGCTTTTAATCCATGAAATAGCATCCATGAAGAAGTATTATTCCATCGCTAGATAAGAACTCTGTATACGAAGTATGTAGTATTACCTTTGTCCCCCTATGTTTGGGACAAAGAGATGTGGTGTTATTTTTAAGAAAAATTAGAAATGTGTGATTGCTATTAAATTGATAAAGTGTAAATAAAGTATGAATAAATTGTAGTCATTCAAATATTACCAAATATGGTATGAGACAAACGAAAAAGGTAAAACGGGACAAAGTTAGGAGGATGGGGGAGTATTTTTTGTTGTTAAGAGAATTGAAATTCCATTAAATAATCATATCGTTAGCCACCTAGATTACAACAAAAACTGGAATAGACAATAAACATTCATGGTTTTAAATTGTGGTATCGGTTGCAATCATTGCAGTTGCGACTAATGTGGCCGCTTTGATGCGTATTGCGGCTGTTGCGACATGAAATATATATTTTCAAATTCGCACATGTTAAGAATAGAATGATTTTTTTGCATATTTTAACAAATCTTCTAGTAATTATACTATGTATTTAACATAAATTTATTTATTTGAATTGATGGTTGATAAAATTGATAGAAGTATTATTTAAGCACTTATATGTAAACAATGAACTAACCAATAAGAATATGACGATTAAAAGTGAATAAAGATTAAAAAGATTATTAAACTAAATAATTACTACAAACATAATTGAAAAATAGCATACCATAGCAATGCCAGACATATACACACACTAGAGGGTGCGGTGCACCTAGGAGACCATGTAATCAGTCACATCTTGATTACAAACAACTGAATTTTATTTTATGCTATTAAATCTGTTATTGCGACCCACAAATTGTTAGATTGTTCACAAAAATTAACCTTGGGAGTCCCAACTTTCAAATCAAATTTCAATAGGATCTGTTTTTAAAAACTCAGAAGGCAAATCACTAAAATCAGTGAAGTAAATGCGAGTGAACATTTATCAAGCCAGATTTTATTTATAAAAATCAAGGAATACAAATGAAGCAGGGGACTAGGCCAAAACCACTTCAGAGAGGGCATACCTTCTCAAAAATACAATAAATAACAACTATTAAAAGCAAGCGACCAGAAAAAACCAAACAAAGGGTGGGCTATGCCCGACCCAATTAAAAGAGCAAAGAGAAGAGACAACAATGTGCTATTTGATAGGCAATAGTTGTTAGTGCCTAATAAGTATACATTTTTATAATTGTTTGTAATGTTTATTTACTACTATTATGCAAGTTTGTAGTTGTTAGCTTGCGTTTGATTGTAATCGTATTTTTAGCATTTTATTGTTTGTTGTAAGTTGTAGTTAGTTGGGCTATAAGTTTAGGATAGGTTTGGAAGAAAGAAGGGTGAAGAAACCTGAGTTTTATGCAAAACCCGGTCGGGTATGGCCTTTACCCGATCGAGTATGAACTGACAGAGGAAGTTGCTGTGAAATTAGCAAATACCCGGTCAGATATTCCCTATACCCGTTCGGGTATGAAGTGATTTCGGGCAAACGAACGTGCAGAAGAACACAAGAACATGGGAAAAAGATTTGATTTGACAAATACCCGGTCGGGTATGGCAAATACCCGGCCGGGTATCCGGCTATAGGTCTTGAAAACACCTATACATAACCCCATTTTCCTTCACTTTTAGACATCCCTTCTTCAATATACTTAAGCTCAACTTAGAATAGTATTCTCCTTATATTTTTGTAGTATGTTTAGTCTCCAAATGAGGAGCTAAATTTCCATTTCTTGGTTTTGCTTTTAAAGCTTGTTGATTATTAAAGTTGTGAGTTATTTTCTTAGCTTCTCTTGTTGAATATTAATTCTTCCCTTAATCTCCTTCTATATTAATGTTGAGGTGTTGCTAAGTGACGATTAGTTAACACTTTGACATTAATTATTACTAGAAACGATCAACGAACCGATGATTAATCGTTGATGGTTTCACAAGTAAGTAACTTCGGTTTATTAATGCACGGTTGTGGTTAATAGACTTCAGAGGGATTAATTTTGTTGGTTAAACCGAAACCGTTGTGTTGAGATTATCAATCTCAATTGATTTCATCAAGGAGTTAAAAATATTAAATGCTACTATTAAATCGGTATACGCCGTTGTTTTATATTTGATTAATAGTAAGGGTTGTTAATGAACGGTCGTTGTTAATAACTACCCTCGATGAATTGGATATACTCTTCAATTGAGTATTCGAGATGGGATTAGTTATAGATATAACAAGGATCAATAACGTCCCTTTATCTTTGAATTAAAACACA